TAGGTGGAGATGATGGAGGACCCCGTCCGGGTTGAGGGCAATAGAAAGGTACAGATTAATTTTGATAATGATTTAATAAATGATAATAACTAATTGCTAGTGTGAAGTAGACATCTTATTGACTTACTGTCACGTTTCGCCCGGCACAGCACGCGAAATAATGAGGCGAGACGACGATAACGAGATGAAAAATATATATATACGTATTTAACAGAACTTATAAGAAAGAAAGAAAGAAAAAAATTGGTAATAGTCAAGGTATAGCTCAAAAAGAAAAGAAAAAAAGAGAGGACCACAAGGACGAGTGTCACGTTCGGTCCCTTCCAATATCCCGAGTCTCCGTTGTTAAGTCACTCACGACCTTCTGATCGGACGGTGCCACGATGTCTGGTCCGTAGCGGTGACCGAATCTCGGAGCGTAGCCGGCTACGGGTAGGGTCGGTTTCGGAGCGCAGCCGAAATCGTCCCCCGGGTCTTGCGGAGCTCTTCCAAGCACGTCCGCCCTCGCTGTCCGTCGGGTAGTCGTCTTCCTCCTTTTTCTTTTTCCTTCCTCTTCCTTGTCAAAAAAATTGCAGATACCCCTTCTTTCTCTTTTCCGGTTCTCACATGTGACACTTACACACGAGAGAACTCACCCGAAAGTTGAAACGTTTCTTCTCGATGTGAAAAAAAGACAACTTATATTGCCGGGCTTGACTGATAAGACAGGGCTCCGCGGACCCCTAAAATGCCAACGCGAACCCCAAAGGGTCCACGGACCCCAATTTAAAAACCACCGCCCTCAAAAAAAAAAAAAAAAAAAAAAAGCTAACATTTTTTAATTTTTTTTTTCTTAGGTGATTTATTATGGTGTCAGAAGACTACCCAATTAATATTTTGCTACAGCGTCCCTTAAATTTTCAATAAAGTAAAAAAAAACAAAAACGGAACTGCTCGAAACCGTAACCGAAACTGGACTGGGGCGGCAGAAGAAACACAGAGGAGGAGAGTGTAACCGCAAGCCACAAAGCTGTGCAACTTTTTTTTTTTTTTTAGGGCGCAGCTTTTAGGCGTTTGTTTCCGGGATGAGCAGCGTCGCAGTCGCCGTCACCGTCGGCGTGACAGCGCTTTGCATTATGGGACGCTTCTCATGACGTCACACGTGACGTCACGAGGGTCACGAGTGACGTCGCCTTCGTGACGTCCCACGGGCATACCCTCTCCTCCCCTCCTCCTCCTCAAGAGCTGCGCTCTAATCCGCCATTAAAGAGAATTGTAAACGTCTCATTTTTGTTTTCAATCAACGTATTTGCAGTCGATGTGTACCTTTGATGACGAACGAGTTTTATTATATTTGGTGGTTGTGTCTCAACCATAGAAAACGGCACGTGACTACGGAGAAGAGAGTGAGCGCGGCTCAAACCGGCCAGTTCTCGATCGGTGGTTTTCGGGTGGAAAGAAAACGAATTTCGAGATGCAAATTGTTTTCCGGCTAGTGGGGATGTCATATCTCATGTACGAATAAAAACCTTGGCGGGCATAAATACCCTTCCTGTCAGGAGGGTATTTATGCCCGCGCTCGCCTGCGCTTTATCATATCGTCTGTGACTGCGCCATCATTTCAATTATTTTGCTCGGTTTTACGCAGCAGCGATCTTTCCCGTCCCGAGGAAGGCCATCGTAATTTTCTCGTACTCACCAAGAAACTAGAATCCCAGAATCTGTTTTCGTTCCGTGAATAGCCGGTTAGATGAGCCTTGACCTTGGAGACACGACTTTTCGTCGTTTCCCCCTCACTTGCTCCTTGTCTTCCACCGCCATGTGACCGCCGTGGCACGATGTTGCGAGCCCGCCGAATAATTCTTTAATATTTAATAAAAATAAAACACACCACACGCACACACACACACATAAAAAAAAAAGACAGCGCATGTTAGACGTTATTGTGGGGGACACAATACACTATAAAATAAATTAGCATTCCCGTGGCCACACCACTTCTGCGGGTAATAAATTCTTCTCTGATATGGTACGCACAAAAAGTGATTGTTTAAAAAAAGTGTCCTGGCTGCATACGGTCGAACTGTGACTAGTGATCTGCTCGCTGTGAGATATAATTTGGCGATCGTAAGTATGATTAAGCAGAGATTCCTGTTTGTTTTTAATATAGAGAATAAAAAAAAGAAAAAAAAAGCGTGAGTCGGAGCTGTCTACGGCGCTCCTCCAAAGAAACCCAGCCAAACTCTTGCTTCAATCCTGTTGTGCCTAATTAAGAAGCGATCATAGCTCTCCCCAAGGCAAACCGAGCAGCGACAGATTGAACACTTTGCACTTTCCAGTTTTGCCCGCGTCCCCCTCTTTTTACTTTACCCCAACTTGGCTCTCCTGGCAGCTTTGCTGAGGGGAGTGCTAAGAAAATGATCTTACCCGCAGAAAACCGAGGCTGCACACGGTAAGCCCGACCGGGGCTTACCGTGTGCTGAAGCTGTGCAACGATTTTAACGTTGAAAAAATTTGCATCTTCTACCTTTGAGATTGTTTATCTTGTCACAAAGGCCAGAAAACACATCTCCGTCCTTCGAAACGTTGCGATTCCGCCGCGTAATCGCGAGGCGAAAGTTAGAATATTTCCCGACCTGCAGCCGCGAGCGGCGGCCATGAGAACCACGCGGCCTGACGTCAATGGAGGACTTGTAAAAAGAAAGAAAGTTGTGGAAATACCTGCTCGATAAAAGGTAATTTTTCTATAAATCTTGTCGTTCCAACATAAATCTAAGTGCGTCAGAAACCTGATATCATCGACAAAACGTTTATTATGCGGAGTTTTAGTGGCGCCATCTATCCGAAATCAACAAAACCGTCAGCTCTATCCGCTACCGCGAACAGCCGCCAGAAGCCGAAGGGGGACAGGGGGGGGGGGGAGGGGAGCCGGACGGGGATGGCCGGACCCGGAGTAGGGCCCGGAGCAAGGAGGTTAGAAGTACTAGGAGGGGGCACGTTGCAATATTGGTGAAGCCTAGTCATAAAAAGTTTAAACGATTTTGTGCCCAGCGTGACCGCAGATCTCTCTGGCGATTGGTGCGCGTGACATGTCACGTGTGAGATGGGTGGTTGATTGTAGAAGGTCTCCTTGCAGGCTTGCGCGCACTCCGTCCGGTAGGTTTTATGAGGTCGAAGTCTAGACTGTGGTGTATTCTAGTACCCCACAGCAAGACGAAGGTACGGTCACGTGATGTGGTCACGTTGGCATGGTAAGTGAGGAGAGTAAGGAGGAAAATGAGAAAGAGGCGAGGCGTCAAGGGAGCATGGCTTGTGGAGGCTACGCGGCCGATGTCATGCCCTCTCCTACCCTTCTATTCTCCATGGCCCGGAGCAACGACTTTCCTCCTTCCTCCTTTCGTCATGTTGATCGCGCTGCGGAAGCACGTGGTCGCGAGCGGGTGAGTTCTCCCTGGTCACTGATGGCTCCAGAGAGCGAGCTTCACCGGAACCCCGCGCGTCCCCCATTGACGTCACAGCGCACGTGACTCGGAAGATGGTGAAGGAGTTGAGCATGAGCTGCCATTGTGGTGATTCCACGCGCAGAGCAAAAGCCGCCGGGCAAAATTGGTCGATTTTTCGCAGCATAATCGTCCCATGGAGTTCAGCCTTTAGGGTGTGCGTAAGGACATCATTAGTTCCAAGGAACGGCGGACGGGAAGTCGTTACATTTTTACGGAAACAGAAAAGGGAACGGCGTCTCCTTTTGTTTGTCCAGTGAGGTAAGTTTTATTTTATTTCTAAGGGGAACACTAAAAAGTATAAAACATTCTTTTTTGAAGAACAGGATTTTGTTAACTTTTTGTTACTTATTTTGTGGGGTCCTCGCGTGGTAGCAGTCGGGTTTAGGCGACCTGTAGGACATTGATTCTTTTTTCAGTACTCGAGACTACAGCACAAGAGACATAACTTTTAGTCGAAGGAGAAGACACAGAAAGAGGGGCATTTCAAAGTCAGCGACTTTCTTTGCTTCCACGAATACTCGTACACCCAGAAATCTAAGGCCGACTACAGCCATCACTGAACTTTCACAAAGAGACCTACAGTTACAACAAAATAACAGGTTACCAGAAATCGAGCGCACCCTTGTAGCTCGAACATTGGTCACTTAAACGATACACCAAAATTAAGCTTTTTTTCCCCACTCCCCCACCTTCGAACTGAATGACGAATCCAACCTTCACAAAGAAGGACTGGTAGTTTTCAAGACCGACTTTCCAAAAGCCCTATCCTCTCCTCCACTTACTCGTCTTGCGGACAGCAACATCGAGAAGCAACTGTTATTAAGTTCAAACGAGAGACTTTGTTAGATTGAAATGTGTGAGGTTGTTGTAAAACAATCATTCTTTGATTGTTTTACAACGAAACAACAACAACAAAAAAAAAGAAGTAACCCCGCTCCTTCCAGGCTCACAGTACATTTGGCTCTGGACAAGAATATGAACAAATGGAACTTCACTTCAGGTTTTCTTCCGGTGTCCTTCCATCACAGCCTTTAAATTCGTATGTTGCCATTTGATGGGATACCCGAACATTTCACACACACACACACACCACACATACACACACATGTATATATATATATATATATATATATATATGTTTGTTTGATGTAACTTAATATGGTAATTCGCAAAATACAAAAGTAACGTATACGTAATGATACGCTCCATATTTTTAACGGTAACGGGAACGAGTTCCTTTTTTACAGATCGAACTTGTAACGGAGATGCGTTCCAAAAATCAGAAGGAACGAAGAACCATCTTTCGTTCCCCTTTTTGAGTAACGTGAACAACACTGGCACCGGGCAAGTAGCGGGACGAGCGGGACGGTTCAACTTTGGCGCATCTTTGGCGCCGCTTGCGACGCATGGGTGGATCTGGAGAACAAAGCGCCCTGCGATGGAGCCCTGGAGCCCGCGTAGCGTCTTGCCGCCTACTGGCCGTAACGGGAACTGCGCGAACTGCCATATTCCGGCCGTTCCGGCGGCGGCGAGAGCAGCGAAAGGGCGAGGGCAGCGAGGGTCCCTGGTTGCCGTGGTCCCGTGGTGTGCCGTGGTTGCAGGTGTTGTTTGAATCGGTGTGCGGGCCACAGGTGCCGCCTGCGGTTCCCCCTGCCGAGATGACCCGGACTCGCGACAGCTCCTGCCGCCACTCGAGGATGGGCTCGCTCTTTCGGAAGCGGACCGTGCAACCGCTGCAGGACGATCCCGATGACGTGAGTGGGACAGCGGGACAGCCCCGCGCAGAGCGAAAGCACCCCGCGCGTGCACGGGTAGGAGCGGGCGGGCACGAACCCCGCGCGCGCACCTCGCGCTTCAATCTAGGGCGACTCCACCTTCGGCCAGCTTCTTGGATGATTACTCCCGCCCAATTTCCGGCTCCCCCGCACTTGAGCAAATCGACACAACGCACACAGGTCAGGTGCGATCACGCACGCCCGGAGTGAAAGAAATAAATTGCGAGACAAAAAAGGAAAAAACCGATTCCGAATATTTGGGTCATTCCGGCTGAATCAGAACTCCCGAACATTTTCGACATATCTTTATTTAATCTCTTAACGTAACTTTATTTTACGAGTTCCTTACGAGAGAAAGCTTCTCGTACACATTTTGATTCCCCGAGTTTAATTCATCACCTCCTCAACCTCCGTCAGAAATACTTTTGCGTCGAAGCAGTTCAAAACACACTCATATACGGGCAGCATGCTTCATATAAAGCGTACATCTAAATTTGGCATTGCGTCATACAATAACCAGAAATGTATAACCTTGTTTGGCATGATGTACTTATTTTTTCTGTAGGATGCTAGACAACTTAATATTCAACACAATTTTTATATGAATAACATGACTGAGTCTGATAACAGAAGATTGGTGGACCGCGTAAAAACAAATGAACCTTGGATGGAGCAAAGCTTGGACTCTACTCACTCGTTACAAAGGAAATATCCAATAAATCAGGTTACCCAGTGTTTATCTGGCCAAATGCTAGGTCTCCCATCTCCACTTGGTACTAGAGAAACTACTTTTAAATCACGAAATGTCCTGTCTATTCATCGGTCACACATTCAAACAGTGGTTGAGTCACAGATATAATTGAGTCCTTTAAATTACATTAGTCCATATTTTTGAAAGCAGCCATGACTTGTTTCACAGAAACGTTCGTCAGGAACAGCTTTCGGTGTTTCAACATATGTTGAAACACCGGAAAAAGCTTTAAGCACACTAAAAGCGTTAGTGGGGTTGATTCCTTTCAAACACATATTTTGTTGCACGATTTATGTTCATTCTTTTCTAAACCTTCTTTATAATTGGCACTTTGAAAGCGAAGCAATTATTTTGCCTTTCTGGTAAGGGCATTCTTGGGTAAAGTGCACCTAAAAAGTACTTGAAGTAATGTACAAAGTAAATGAGAAATTATGTACTTTAAGTAAAGTGGTAAGTACACTGTTTGCAATGTACTTGAAGTAAAGTACTATATATTTACAATGTATTTTCAAAGTAAAGTGCAAATACTTTTCAACGCAATCTTTTATGATGCCCTTTCATTCCCCTATACAGTCTTTTTAACTGCTATGCATTGCCTCAAGGTATATTTGGGGGTGCATCAGTTATTTTTGGAATGGCGGCGAATATAAGATAAGGTCAGCTAGCCACGCAGTGGTATTTTTACTCTTGTTGATGACAATCACCTTATGAGGCACTTATTTGTATTGGTCTTCTAGCTGCCATTACTTCACTCGGAGAAAAGGCCAGATGAGCAATGCATTGTCTGCTCATGTTTCTGGTAAGGGTAGAATATCCCTCCCTGTATTTCTTCAGAGCTGGCAAACCATCATTTTGTGATACAAACTAACAAAATCAAATTCGGGGAATGTACTTTTATGTTGGGAGTTGTACTTTGCTTGGACAGTACCAGAAAAAAATACTTTTATGTAAAGTACAATTACATATTCAGATAATGTACTTCAACTAAAGTACAAATTTTCTAAACCTACTTGAGTACTTCCCAACATTGGGAAGTACCCAATACTGGGAAGTAACATGTAAAAACCAAAATTTAGGTGGAAAATTGAATCTCAATATTTTAAACTCAATGTAGATTACGTATAAATAGTTTAGACCTCCCAAAGTCAGTTTCAAAGCAAATAGAAATATTCCAACGAAAGATAGAAAACAAACTGGATGCATATTAAACATCTGTATTTTTTCTTCTTCAGTGAGCACACTTGTTATGGGAATAACCAAAACAACCAGCTTGACTTGTAATTACTATCTTAATTATATTATTGGGAATAAAGCAAGGTGTGTTGTTTTCTCAGTAAAAGCACTTATACCATTGATCATGTTAAAAATTACCCAAGACTGTGGTAAAAGATGGGAAACTTGGAAGAAAAAGGGCACAGAAGAAATAAGTCTCAAATAGTGATGCAGCCGATGCAAAAAGTGTGTATGATTCTCTTTCTTAATGTAAAATGTTGCGAGAATTAAAGTAACCTTCCAGAAAACAGCTTTGAGCTTTCCCGAATCAATGCAGGATAACAAAACATGGCCATCTACCAAAAACAGACCATTAAGATGTCTTCCTGAGTATACCAAATTAATTGTGAGCATCTAGAAAGCTAAAACTTGTTGGCAGGTGCCTTTTCCAAACTTTTGGCTTCATTTTGTTGAATGCATGCAAAATGTGATGTGAGGCAGTCTTGCAGGTGGCTGACACAATGTTAGCAGGAGCGACCATAGAAGTAAAGAAACTCCTTTGTTTCTGAGAAACGCCTTCTTCTCTGCTCTACTCTTTTAACTGCATGTCTTTCAGGACTATCTTTATCCATACTTTGACCATACTTCCTGATGTGTCTAGTCTATGTCATATGTAAGTTTTGGCTCTTGGGGAGATTGAGACAAGCAATCTGTTTGAGTGTCTATGTTCATCTCGAGGTGAAGTGTAGCCACTTGAGTAGGAACACTTGTACTCAAGTGGACACACTTGAGTTCAAGTGTTTGGTGTACCCCAAATATTGGCTGGCATCTCCTGTCTAGAATCATCAGTTTCCTTTCCAATTCATTTTGAGGCAACATCTTCGGCTCCGTTCTAGTGTACTCGTGAAGGAGAGGACAGATGACTTAAATTAAGGTGCTTCGAGTCCCTATCACAAATAAATTGAGATAAGAGTGCTTTCAGCTATGTCACAATCAAGAAAGGACATTTCATAGGGGAAAAAAAGAACATTTTGAGGAAAAATAACTAAAGACAACAGTAGAATTGCCAAAGCCGAAACATAAAGTAATCAATGCTTAACCAAATAAATCGAGGCAAGAACACAAATCAATCAATAATTAATTGAATGGCTCAGTACGAAAACATCATAAACAAAAAGCGAATGAACGCAAATGATATAATCTCTAAATGACTAGAAAGAAGGGCCTGAAAACGTTTGGGGTTACATTGTGTTATATTATTGAACATTAGATCTATCTGATTTGAATGAAGCCAGATGCGGTAAAACTATTTGACAAGGCTCAAACTCAATCTCAAATACATCACTAAATTATATTGATGAGACTAACAGCGGCTTCTATAAAGAAGGTCAGATTTAAAGGAATGCTGATTTTGAAAACCAAAGAAATGCCAATATAAAAGTGCTATTGATATGTGTGTTTTTCTAAAATTGTTACCACAAAAAGTATTTAAATCATTGTATCATTTGGCAACCATATAGACAGTCCCAGAAGATTGCTTTGCCTAGGATGCTTGTGTTCCACCTGGGGCCCTATGCTACACGGTGGGACCAAGCGGAACGAAGGGGTCGGGACAACGTCGTCCGCTGCGATTGGTTAGCGCCGCGCCGCTGACCAATCACGGCAGACGACGTTGTCCCGATCCCTCAGCTTTGCCGTGTAGCATAAGGCCCCTGGTGTTTGGCGCATGTGCTTGATACTATGAGCGTCGTATGTCTTGGAAGATGTGGCAGATGTTGTGCGAGGCTCAATGCCACCTGGAAGGCTTGCGTGCTTGCTTGTGGTGGTTTACTGCACCCTCATTTTTGGTCCCTCGGCTTTCGCCTCTTGGCGGCACATTTAGTAGCTGCTGGCAGTGATCCTGGTTGCAACACAGCAGTGGAGGAATGTGCAGCAGACGCCTGTGTTGCCGTCTGCCAATACTTTTATGGCCAACCGTCAGGATTGTGACAAGCGACTGCCGCTAGCTCCTGCAGCGTAACTTGTTGTCACTTTACGATTGCTTTCGAAGCATGTGCGGTATAGGGCACTAAACACGCCGGTCGCAGATGCACTCCAGGCGCCATACCATTAGATGCTTTCAGTGGCTACTAACACCCAAAGATCACATTTACTTTGAATTGCCACGATAAGGAAAATGCTAACAACCTTGGTGGTGTTACAAAACAATAAAACAACCAACTAATATGATACTTAGAACTCGGCCTTCATATATCGTATCATTAAGGAAGTAAGTAAAACTGAAGCCCATATGCTCTATAGAGCCACCAGCAAAGTTAAATAAATTAAGGGCTCAAAGTGTGACGAATGTAAAACTCTGCATATTAAATCCTCAGTGGTCATACAGGGAATGGACAGATACATTTTAGGGCAGAAAAAGGCTATCGGCATCAACATAGTTGAAGTTGGGTAGCTCTCGAGGAAATTATAACTGCAGAGTAATTGCATTACTTTTTGGAGACAATGCAGAATGGTAAGGATTTACATTTTGCAATCTAGTAGTTTTAATTGAAATTAACTGCTTTTGGAGCAAAGTAGCTGTAATCGCGATTAAGTTACGTTTCAGTAGTAATTCACCAGAGCATGCGTCGCTGACAAGCGCCGCTCTTCCGTTCCAGTCGGAGGCGGACATCCCGCTGGTGGCGAGGTCCCCGCAGCTCGGGCGGCAGATCTCTCTGCAGCGGCAGACGAGCGTCCCGGAGGACTCGCTGCGCTACTCCACCACCAGGGGGAACATCCACTTCTGGAAGAACTTTGCCTACGAAGCGGAGGTAATTAATTGTGTTGTGTATATGTTTAGACAGCCCCAGTGGGCATCCGGTGCCTGCACTGTGGATAAGGGATTTTGCCTGTGTAATGTCACTGCTAGCCTGCGATCTTTAAAGGGACAATGAAGACGATTTTACTTAATTTTTTTAAATTGTGTTTTTGGGCTCCTTGGAAACCTAGCATGCTGCCTAATTTTTTGTAGACATTTCTGACGCATATTTCTGTGCCTACGAAAGAACTCAAGAAACCGAAACTGAACTATCTCCATTCTCATTTCTGGGTCTCCCAAAACGGAATTGACGTAGGGAGTGACGTCAAGCGTGAATAGTCGGTATCGGTAGTATTTAGGGGATAGAGACTCTGGTTACCGCGGTGGGTTATAGCAGCGCGGTGGCGCGGTCGTTTCGTCGAATCTGTCAACATGGACAACAATGCCGCTCTTGCGAGCAAGTTCAGGCTTCCGTTTAGTGACCTAACACCAACGGAGCGGGAGTATGTGTGTGGCGGCCTCCGCCATCACCCGACGCAGACCGCCCAGCCGGCAACGAGCGGCCCGCAGGCTCCGAGCAGGGAAGCAGCGAGCAACATTCGCGCGGGCGAGACGAAAGCGTCACGTTGCCGAAGGACAGGGACGCGGGGGAGAGGATGCTGAGGGGAAAGCGGCAGTGACTCGGCTGTTCCGGGAACCGGTTCCTCTGCGGGGGACGCTCCCCAAGAAGGAGAAAATAAACATCACCATTTTCGGTTTTCACCAATGTCGGACGTCCTCTCTTTTTGTTGTCAAAGAACACGAACAGCAACCTACACGTGAAAACTAGTGTCGCCCGAACGAATACTGGTATTCAATCGACTGTTAGAACAGCAGTCTACAGCACACAGATTTGGCATGACTGCCTTTTTGCAGAATCCTTCAAGTACTGCGTTCCCAAAGTAAACACAACACTGACATCTGAAACCAAAACCAAACGTCTCCCGCATGTTCTATTTTTTTAAATTTATTTTGTTTGTCTATAGTTGCTCGTTGCCCATTTCGCATCCAGCATAGCAAAGAGAAAAACAATTATGCTGTTTTATTTACAGTTTAGTAATAATATCCGGTTCGATTTATACTTTTCATGGTTATTCAAGGGGAAATTAGAACGGTATTCCTAAAAATCGTGAACCAAAACATGACCAAGGGCACGTCTCTCGTTTCGACAAATTGCTGACACGTCTCTTGCGACGTCGCGCTTCTTGGCCCCGCAACGATCACGTGAGCTCCGCTTCTCCTGGCTTCTCCCGCAACACTCGGGGTGTCGCCCCAGTCGATCCCGGTACGATTATTACTGCGACTGTTTAATTGATTTGCGCGGCATACAAGCGCCGGTTTCGGCTGCAGTTTGGGCAGCGTGGCCTGAGACGTGCCTGGAACCCAGTTCAATCGAAATTGCCTTCATTGTCCCTTTAGTGTGCACCATGCAGTAGTATTACACGACCGCACTCCGGTACGATGCTCGCCCAGATCGAACTGGGCAGAGGTGGGGATCTGGGTTGTGCTGCAGGAGCTTTCTCTTCATGTGCTTCGAGCTGCGATGCTTTAGCACGCTCGGCCACCAAATCCCCAAAGCGGAGGTGTACCTCCGCTTCATTTGCACGAGCTGTTGCCTAATCTTTGCTGCTGCCAGGTGCCCGTGATGTCGGGGTGCCATTCCTGTGGATGGCGTGCATTCCGCGATTTAGCAGTGGTTCGGCATGCTCTTTTCATATTTTTAGGTCAGAATATTGCATTTTTGCGCGTCTTGGTCCTCGTTCGTGCCCCTACAATCGCTACAGTTGTAACGCCACATTGTTGTCACATCGTCATTACAGTTGTAATGACAATTGTTGTTGACACTGTTGCTGTTACAGTTGTAATGGTGATAGCGACAATTGTGATAATGCATTGTTCAGTTTCCGCGATAGTTGTAACAACAATTGCTACGTCTGTGGCACCGTGTTGTTGCAATTTTTGTTACAGTTGTTGATACAGTTGTAGCAAAAATTTCTACAGCTGTAGCATCATGTTACAGTTGCCATTGCCATTGTAACGACAATTTTTGTTACAGTTGTCGATTCAGTTGTGATGGAAATGGTTACAGTTGTGATACCATGCATGTTGTTACAGTTGTAATGGCAATTTCTACAGTTGTAACTCTGTGTCGTTACAGCTGTCGTTAGAAATGTGATGATTATAGTTGCTTAACAACAATTGCAACAGCTGTAACACCATGTACTGCTGGCTATTTCAACTGCCAAGCAGCAACTACAGCCGAAGTTCTGATCAAACAAGATGTTAAGAAACAAAGTGTAGCCACAGGGGCAATATCTGTAGACTCGGTGTCAATATGGCAATCCTTGCAGCTCAGAAAATGCAGAGAAACATCCAAAAGTGCAGTGTGTTTCCTCAAACTGGCAAAACAGAACAAAGAATGCTTGCTGCCAGTGGATGCAGCCTCTTCTGCTCAATACTAGAAATCGGTGGCCCTTTCTTCTGTCAGAAGAGAGAACATTGAGTTGCCATGGACAGCTGCGCAAGTGGCCGCACCTTTTGGGCAAAATCTCTGGCTCCCACTGATAGCACTTTTATTGTGGCAGAGTTTGGGAGCTACCATAACGTTAATAAGTCTTTTACTGCCTCTAAGTCGAGCTTATCTGGGTTGATGTTCACTCTTTCTTAGCTGTGTGTTATGCACTCTCAAAGAAATTGCCCTGCATGTTATGCTCTCCCATTTTCACTGACCACTTGGAGAGATTTTTTCTCAGAGCTGGTGTAAGGAAGAGGGTTGCAAAAGTTTTCAGCTCTTATAATGTACCCTCTTTGCAACCTTCTTTACTTTATTTATAATTCCTCTCTTGTTTCACTTTTTTTTCTCCAATCTACAACATCGAAATAGAAAAGCCATTTTCCTCTTTTGTTTATGTGACAAACAAGGCCCCCTTTTTCTTTTCTTAATTAATACTGCAATGTCTCTGGAGAAAAAGATTGAGTTACTAAAAATTTGTCGGCTAAGCTGGAAAATGATAAATCATCCTCGAATAAAAAAAAGAAGTTCAGCACTTTCTTTGTGCACATAGAATTTCCTCGTGTTTTGCATCTGAACTTAGGAATGAGACCATCTGACGAGCAACAATCCTTTTGAATTTGAAGATGTTTATTCCTTTTATTAGAAAAGAAAAAAAAGAAAAAAAAAATGCCCTAGTTTGATGAGCTCGAAGCCATACCGAGTAAACGAGGGAGCAATGTTTGCTATCCACAAACTAACTGTATGTGACTGTCAGTTGAGATTTGAAATTTCGAAGACATTTTTTGCAATTTTTATATGAAAAATTTAGAAACACTAATATTTTGCATAATTATTGACGGCGTGCACAAACTACAGGGGGCGTTTCTCTAGCTATCATCATCATCATTTTTTATGTCATAGGTAGGACAGACTGAAACTGACCGAGGCCTGTTTCACGCGTTGTGTTTGTTTGGCGAAGCGATATCTGTAATAGGGCATTTTACCCAAGCTTGAAACCATGGCATGCGTACGGTAGTCAAGCTAACGAACACGTTTACCGCTGTGGTGTCAAAGCGCTGTGGTGGTGGTGCGCTGTTGTCTACCCCAGTACAAAAAGCTAGATGATGAAAATAGAATATTCATCTACGTCGGTAAATAGGGTGTATTTTTTTTATTATGATTCGGACAAAATAAAACTGAGATAGGAATGTCTCTTCAAATTGAAAATAAAAAAGTGAAATTCAAGAACCTCTCACGTGTGTAGTAAACATTTCTGCGAAAGCGACTACGTGTATCCTGTTGGTTCCGACGTGTTCTGTGAGTGCTTAAGGGGGGACACTGGCTAGAGATTGAACTTGAACTAGAACATGTGCGTGCACAGCTAAGAAGACAGCATGTCATTTATTTGTTGAATGCAAAACCTTTTCCTACGGCAGCCTCCACAGATCCAAAAAACAAGAATCAGAGAGACTGTGAATGGTCTTGACGCATGCCGCGCAAGCTGTAATGTGAAACTCCTGGCTCGTTTTTGAACATTTTAAACGTTTTTAATATAGAAAGCAACTTTGAGGCACTGTTATTCATCAGAATGATCGCTGACAAAAATGTCATACTTGTTTCTTAAATAAATGAACCATTTTAAGCGGCATAGATGCAAACCAGCCTCTTTGTGCTCTGACATACTGCGTCGTCTGTTGCATCCTACCAGCTCTGTCGCAGGAGGGTGCCCGCGAGGTGGCGCCACTAAAACATCTCGTCACCAATAGTGTGGTGCAAATCTAATCTACTAGTCAACAACGCTTGTAAATCACAACCTGAAAAAAACAAAATTATACATTACTTTCATTGTGACGTAAACATTTGGCAGAAATATGTCTAATTGGAAGAATGAATAATTTTAAATTTTTTAAAAAGAATGTTGGGTCTTTAATTAGAGTTGTGCTGGGCATCAGTTTTAATAATTCCACTTCATCTATTATTGAAAGGACCATGAAACAATATTTGGTTTGGTTTTTACTAAGTGCACATGGCATAGTGGAGCTAAAGAAAACTAGCACATAAGAGTACTGAGCCAGAAACAAGTCTTTTTTTGGGGGGGGATTTTTGAAAATGAGATGCAGCCATTCTTTTCTTTCTCCTCTTTTTCAAGCTTTTTACCTTTTTACCGTGATAAACCCGCAGTGCTCATGCCCACCAGACACTTCTCGGGCCTTAGCCTGTAGTGCACATGTAACCACTTGTTTTGCTGGTAAGATTGATTAACCAACTTGTGTTTTAAATTTTTCTTTTTGTGAAAGGTCACATTCTGAGAGAGAAATGCGTTCCTTTTCTGGATTTTATGAACATTCAAAATTTATTTAAGTCACTATTTAGTAAAAAAGTAAAAGCTGAAACATTGTTTCATGTTCCTGCTCAGTGGACTTTACATAAAGAGAGAGTGGAAGGCCGCTAGGTATTTTAGAAAAGTAGCTGATGGACTTTTCTCCTCTTTCTATGAGAAGTGAGGGATTATGTTCTTCAGCATGCTGATTCTTGGATGTCTGTAGTTTTTGACGATGAAGCGTGTGGTTCTGTTCAGCACTGATTTCAGTTACTGTATTAGGTGAAACTGATGAAGATTATATATTATAGTGGTTTCAGAAGCTTTGGATTAATTCTGAGTTTATCATATAAATACAAGTTCGTAATCTTTTTACCGAGTGGTATTCCTTGAATTTCACTGAATTTATTCAAAATTGCAGAAACCCAACTATGGACCCACAGATCAAATATGATCTTCCTGCTTTTCACGTTCCAGTTAGGGACTCCTGCAATTCCGGTTGGTGAATTGGAATTCTGGAGAGGCATGTCAGATTCCATTAAAGGAGATCTAAAAGAAAAATGCACCAGCCATAAAAGCTTGGGTTATCGGAGGTTCTGTTTAGGGACGTACGAGATTCCAGCAGATGTCCGGTAGCTAAGGCCATTGGGGCTTCTGTCTAGGCACATACGTGATTCCATAGAAAGACATCTGATGGCCAGGTGCTCCTAGCCACAAAAGCTAGGGGCACCTTGCCCCCAGCACAGTGAAGAGTGTTGTCATCCCGCTGCTTGTCCTGAAGACGGCCCGTTGACGGGTGCAGGGGCGTCCCTTCCTGTGTGCCAGCCACGACCTGCCCCCGGACCAGGTGGCTGGGGTGCTGGGCCACGAGTGGTGCCTGGCCCTTCCCCGCATTGCCCTGGTGCTGCTCACCAATGTGGCCCCACTAGGCTCAGCCTTACCCCGAAGGGTCATCGACGCACTCAGACGGGGCATCATCAAGGTGCCTGGTTCCCCTCCTTTTGTTGGGCAACTCGTCGGTCTATGCTCAGTGACCCCTAAGCTGACAGTGCGTAAAAGCTACATGCTCATTGTACTATAAAGTAAGTTACAGGTCAAGAAGGTAGCGGACAATGCCCCTCAAAGGGATCCATATATCCCTCTGCCATTTCCGCATCCAATAGCGTCCCATCGTTTCCGTGACGTCGCGGCCAACACGGGAGAGGGTTTTGCTTTCCTGTGAATATTTGCTTTATCTTTCGACTTTGACTTAGCGTTGTGGAAGCCATGAGAGGGAGATTAGAATTTTCCCTTTCCGATGGAAATAAATACGACTTTGGGGGGTTAGGTTCCCCCTCCGATGGCTACAAAGGCCACTTTCAGGGGCTTGGTTCCTTCTCCAATGAATACAAAGGTCGCTTTCTTCAAAAGGGAGTGTTGTAAGTTTAAACTCTGACTCGGAGCTTGGGAGGGCAAGAAACAGAAAAACCGACAACGAGATGGCGATAAATCTCACGTGGTACGGCGCAGCGTAAGAACGTAAGCAGACAGGACGAAAAATAAGCACACACAAAGAAAAAGAGACGAGCACGAGGAAAGCACGTGGATGCTCGGGTAACCTCGACTGGCACCTGACGGACTGAGCTTTGCCCGCGGCCTCACGTCATGTTTACACCAGCTCGGGCGAACTTGAGCAAGACGAGATGCCTGCCGCCGCCATCAACCATCTGTGGGTGCGAAAGGCGGACGGGAAAAGAAGCGGAATCTGAAACGTCGGTCGTAGGAGAGAGAAGGAAGACACGAGGAACAGCAACAGCCCGGTGTGGGAACAAGAGAGATCGAAAACGAGCGCCCCGAAAGAAGCCACGCAAAAGGAACTCTTCTGTGTTTAACGAAGCTTAAGTTGTAGATTTAGAATAATAAACAGTTCGTATTGGGTTAAACCTTGCGGTTGTCATTTACAACAAAACTTTCTGGTGCCGGAACCCGGGATTAACCGCCAACGCAACCCCCGAACGAAGAAATGGCAACTCAAGCTACAATCGACCGACTGAGATGCAGAAGAGCAGTGGTCCGAACGTCAGCAACGAAACTCCTGAACGAAATCGATGTTCTGCTGGCCGCGGAAGACACGCATACGGGTGAGCTTCAAGAAAAGTTTGAACTTCTGGTGTCCAGAGAATCAACGTTAAAGGAACTGGACTGTGAGATGGAAGCAGTGGTGGACTGCGAATCGATAGAAGAGGAGATGACAGGTGCGGAAGTTTACCATGAAAGAGTCAGCGTAACGAAGACGCGATTGCGAAACAAGCTGACAGAACGTGAACAAGCCGCTGCCAGGTTATCTTTGATGCAGAACACGGCCGTCAAAACTATCGCAAATCAAGGACGGATGACTACGACAGTGAAGCTCCCGAAACTTGAGATAACGAAATTCCAAGGGGACATACGAGCATGGCAAAGATTTTGGAGCCAATTTGACTGCACCATTCACCAGAACGAAACTCTCTCGGAAATCAACAAGTTCAAGTACCTCAAAAGCTACCTGACCGGCAAAGCTGCTGCGGCAATTGAGGGACTCGCCGTTACTGCCGAGAACTATAAAGTTGCAATCGACCTCCTGAAGGAAAGATTTGGTCAACAGGAGCTGATCATCGAAAGCCATCTGTCACGGCTTCTAGAGATTAAACCAGTCCATGACTCCAGGAGCGTCAATGCGCTCAGAGCGTTATACGATGAAGTGGAGACGGGAGTTCGAAGTCTTGACGCCTTGGGGGTTAAATCGGATACCTATGGAACGATGCTCCTTACCGTTCTTCGAAAGGTCGTGCCGGCCGATCTGAGCCTGGAGTACAACCGGAGGTCCGCCTCACGAACAGCGACAAAGCACAACGAGCTGAGAGACTTTCTGGACTTCCTGAAAATCGAGATAGAAAGCCGAGAAAGAAGCTTATATGGGTCAGGACATTCCGTGCCACGAACCGAGGATCAAAGAACCTTTCGTGCAAGGAGAGATCAGCAGAGTCGTTATCCTCCTTCTGCGTCTGTACTAACAACAGCAGCAGGCCTGGATGAAAAGAACTGTGTGTTCTGCAAATCAGGTGCTCATCTGACTGCGGACTGCACATCCTCAATGACCAACGACGAACGCAAGCATGTTCTGAAGGCTGAAAACCGATGTTATCGTTGCACCAAGAAAAACCATCGAGCAAAGGATTGCAGAAGTGAAAAGTGGCTGAAGTGTGCGCAGTGTGCAGGGAGACACGCAAGTGCCATGTGCGACCCGAACTTCAAGCCTCAGCATAAGACTACGGCAAAAGAAATGGCGGACACAAGTGAAACATCAACTTCGGGAGGAACGACACTCCAGTCAATGCTCAAGATAACAAATACAGAAAGGAACAGTGGGAAGCGAGTACTTCTGCAGACAGCTCAAGCCTGGGCAGAAGGAGAAAGAGAGCGTTGCCGGATTAGACTTCTCATCGACGGCGGAAGCAAGCGGACTTTTATTCGCCAAACCGTTTCCAAGAGGCTTCACCTGAAGGAACTGGGTGAGGAGGACTTGACGATTTTCACGTTTGGAGACGCAGCAACGAAAACGAAATGCAAGCGAGTGGAACTGTGGCTCCGCAGCCAATACGACAGAAGATGCGTAAAAATAGAAGCCCTCGAGGTTCCTCACATCTGCTCAGATGTCATGAACAACCCCTCCGAGGAACTGCGGGGGCTGCCTGACGATATGAACCTCGCGGACGTGGAGCTCTGGGGCAATCCATGCGAGGAGGGAATCAGCCTTCTCATCGGAGCCGATCACTTCTGGGACATTGTGAACGGCGGAGTCAAGCGCTTGGATGGGAAGCTGATGGCAGTCGACACCATCCTCGGGTGGACACTTCAGGGACCCGTTACCTCTACTTCTGCGACAATCTACTCGCCAACAACTGGAGTGATGAGGGTGACTGTGTCCGATACAAACGACGCGGAAATTTCGGCTCAGCTCAGATCATTCTGGGAACTTGAGCACATTGGAATAGCTTACAACGTGACGAAGGCTTCAGAGACGGAATTGCTCAGCGAATTCAAGAAATCCGTAAAGTTTGAGAACGAACGGTACCAAGTTTCACTGCCATGGAACGAGAAGGTTGACACGCTTAAGGACAACAAAGAAATCGCGCAGAAAAGGCTTCGGTCCTTAACGGCACGACTCAACAAGAACGACACGCTCATGCAAGAGTATGACAAGGCGATCCGTGAATACCTCAAAAATGGGTTCGCTGAAAGCGTAAAAGAGAACGAAAAGGCCAAGAACCCGGTTTACTACATGCCACATCAAGCGGTGATACGACAGGACAGTCAAACAACAAAACTCCGAGTGGTATTCGATGCGTCATCGAGCGCTGAAGGATGTTCATCGTTGAACGACACCTTGTGTAGTGGACCAAACTTGAACCCTGACCTGCCTGACTTGCTGATCAAGTTCCGCACCCACAACGTCGCCATCGTAGCGGACATTGAAAAGGCTTTTTTGCAAGTCGCACTCCCCGAAGAAGACCGAGACGCCCTCCGTTTTCTCTGGTATGAGACAACGCCACAGTCTGGCCAGCCACTTCCGCCAGTCGTGACGTGGAGAATGACTCGGGTCCCATTCGGAGCGACATCCAGTCCATTTCTGCTAGCCGCAACGCTCAGACACCATTTTGAAGTCTTGAAAGATGAGCACCCCACCACCTCAAATATTTTGAGTGAGCACATGTACGTCGACGATCTTGTGACAGGTGCCCGCAATCTAGAGGAGGCGAAGGTTCTCGCCACTGAAGCAACGGAAATACTAAGCAAAGCAGGAATGCGACTTCGAAAGTGGAAGACAAACGAGCCAGGGCTGCTGAAAGACTTGGAAGAAAAGAACCACACTCACGAGGATGTGTTTGAGCTCGGTGAAACAACAAAGGTACTAGGCATTACATGGGAGCCCAAGAATGACGTATTCAGGTTCGACATGAACTCTCTAATCCGCTTCCTGGGAACAAGGAAGGACAGCAAACGATTTGTGCTGCAAGCGTCTTCAAGGATATTTGACCCTTTGGGTTTTCTGGCACCCGCAGTAACAAGTGTGAAGATCCTGTTCCAGAGCTTGTGGGAACAAGGCGTCGACTGGGATGATAAACTGCCCGCGGATCTCCAAGAGGAGTGGGACAAATGGTGTAAAGAACTCCCCTGTTTAAAGAGTATCTCGATTCCGAGACAAATGGTCAGCGACTCCAGCAACGAACGACCAAAGACGCTCCACGTTTTCTGCGACGCGAGCCCTAAAGCATACGGTGCTGTGGCATATATCACATCAGAAGATACAAACGGCGAGAGCAGCGTGGCCTTCGTGATGGCGAAAGCAAGGGTAGCTCCCCTCAAACGACTCACCCTCCCGCGATTGGAGCTAATGGGAGCACTGATCGGCGCTCGCTTAACGAAGTTCATCCAGGAACGACTGTGCTCATCAGACATCAAAACGTGTCTTTGGACGGACTCTAGGGTGGCGTTGCACTGGATCCGAAGCTCTGCCACCAGGTGGAAGCAGTTCGTGGCTAATCGGGTCTCGGAGATACAAGCATTGACTGACCCAAAAGACTGGAGACACTGCCCTGGAGCGGAAAACCCAGCTGATCTATTGACACGCGGACTTCTTCCAGTGAAGCTCGTAAACAACACAACGTGGTGGAGCGGACCGAACTGGATCTTGTGCAATGAAGAAGGCTGGCCAAGTCAAGTGGAAAATGCTTGCCAGGTTGCGGACAACAAAGCAGAAGAAAGGAAGGCAATGGTGTTACAAGTAACAGCACCAGCTCTGTTTCCAGTTTTCGACTTGGAAAGGTACAACTCGGCAACCAAGTTGATCCGCGTAACTGCCTGGATCAAACGTTTCATGAAGAATTGTGCCAAAACAGAAGACAAACGAAGCGGACCTCTCTCAAGCGAAGAACTGATAGAAGCCGAAATTTATTGGCTTAC